CTGGTATGGCTCCCATCGCTGGCCCGACCTAAGGCACAGGTCTTCTCGATTGTTATCAACAACTATCGTTCTCTTTGGCGTTATCGGCAAGTGTCGTTATCGGTAAAGTGGTCCCTCCTATCGTGCGATATCTAGTGCTCATGAAGAACTACTCTGAAACCCAACCTCACCAACCTTTGTCTTTGTTAAGCTCACCACTAAACTTGCACTTCAAGCCTTCGCAACTTCGAAGTAGGCCCACGTCGCACCTGGATACTTGACTCGCCTCTGCAACGCCCGGTGGCTTCTGCGGACATCCATTAGACACTGGTACTTGTGTAGAATGTGATGTTATGGGGACTATGCTATGAACTTTTACATACAATACTCAACCGAGGCTAACTGTCAATGGCACGAGAAACTACAATGAACGTTATTTTAATTTCCCACATAAAACGATAGTAGACAAAATCTTTCTTCAATTTACACACTCGAAGCATAGGAATGACAATGTTCATTAGTAGCACAATGGGAATAAGTTTAATATTGTCGGAATGTTATTGGAAACGAGAAAAGTAGATTTGACATGAACTCTACTAAAACCATTTACTAATGGTATGTACTGCTAGAAATTCATTCGAATATAAATGTAAAGAGTTACTGGCTAATGGGAACCATCTGTAGTCTACAGTTCACTATCAGTTGTTTCCGACATTTTACAGAAGTGCCATAACCACAACTTTTATTCATATATAAATAAACACACACACACACACACACACACACACACACACACACACACACACACACACACACACACATACACACACACACACACACAAACACACACACATGCACACAGTCGATCACAGAAATACTCATTTTCACATTCTGACATCTCTCATCTGTCAGGAATCAATCCATATACTATCGGTCTATAAAATATTGATATCTCGGGTCTTGTAATAATCACACAATAGTCCGTAATTTCTGGTTTCCCTTTTTCTTTCTTCTTATATCTTTTTACGCTTTGTTTTTTATAATTATTATTTTTTATTTATTTTATTTTATTTTTTTTTGAGTAAATGGCATTTTTAAAATTTCGAGTAAATGGATCTGATTTGGGTCTATGTATTGACAGAACAAGTATGGAGTGTCTATCTCTCTCTCTCTCTCTATATATATATATACACACACACATATGTATACATATATATATATATATATATATATATATATATATATATATATATGTATATATATATATGTATATATATATATATATATATATATATATATATATGTATATATATATATATATATATATATATATATATATGTATATATATATATATATATATATATATATATATATATATATATATATATATATATATGTATATATATATATATATATATATATATATATATATATATATATATATATATATATATATATATACATATATACATATATATGTACATATATATGTATACATATATATATATATATATTTTTCAGTCTATTCGTATTTTTCTGTTATTTTATATCTTAATTCTCTCTTGCATAGAATACAATGTAAGGAGAAGATAACATCGCAATCCATTCTCTTATCCTTCACAAACTGAAACTGTAAACGGCATCATGATAAATATTTCAGGCAGTATATATATCGTGGTTTGATAACAGATTTCTTCGGTTCGTTCAGACATTCTAATAACTAGATCATGGTTAGTGTTTGCGATGCGATGCGTGTCTTTTGTATCAATATTAGCGATATACTTGCAACCATCATCATTGTTTATAAAAAATATTCTTGAAAATTACATTGTTTTCAGATCATATTTTTTCGGTTTATCAATTTCTTAATTAATAAAAACCGTAAACAACATCACGATAACCCTATAATAAGCATTTCAGCCAGTATATCTATATCTTTATCTATCTATCTATCTATATCTATCTATCTATCTATCTATCCATATCTATGTCTATCTATATATCTATCCATATATATATATATATATATATATATATATATATATATATATATATATATATATATATATCGAGCTTTGATAACAGATTCCCTTGATTCATTCAGATATTCTAACTAGATCATGGTTTGGGGCAAATCCAGATTAGATGAAGTTACAGTCATATCATATCTCTCTGGACTTTCAGGCAATACATATCTGGGCACGAGTCACCGGCGTTATCTTATCGTACAATATATAAACTTCTAAGACAAGTAACGATGATGCAACGCTTTTTCACCTGCTGACCGCGAGTGCTTTACTGTGAGGTTTTTATGGCTTCAAAGGACGGGTCTTTTGCGAGTCCATTAAAGTCGTGGTTAAAGGTGACTCAGGAGACGGATAATAATAAAGAAAAGAAGAGAGAGAGAAAAAAAAAACAAACTTTGTCGCATGTAATCATTAATTGTTTACTTTCCGTTAAACACATTCTTGTTTGACTGTCCTTCAGCTCAGCTTTGTTGAGGAGGGGGGGGGGGTGGTAAGTGACTTGCCCGTTTCATAAGACACAAGTCTATCCCCGATATATCAATGCTTTACGCTCATTTATTGCTGGTTGGAGATTCATTTTCTCTAAGACTAAAATGTATAAGAATTTTTACATATCATGACTAGCTGACACTGAAACTTTTATCAGAATCTCCTGGTAGTGGACTCATCATACAGTGGGTTTAGAAGTAGTAAAGAAGACATCATTATTAGCACTAAAATCTAATGAATTAGTCCCTAGCTCATGGCAAACTTACCAATAAATATTCAACAAAATCCACCAGTTGATTTTCATGCAATCCTGCTAACAAACCATTCCTGCCAGAGACCTAAAGAGAATAACATGTTAGCGCTTTCTTATCAGTTTGGCCAAGAATCATAAAGAAAGCTCATTATCAGCTTTGTTTAATTTGTTTGATGATAAGTCGCAGCCTCTTCCATTACAGCATTGTTTAGTGCATTTATCAACCTAAGGCGTATCTGTAGTGATAGAATGGCAAGCTAGATAGCAAATAGTTTCCCGTTTTGTTCCAGATGATAAAACATGATTGAACACTTTAATGTATGAAGGTTGCAATGATGCAAAACTGAGGGACGTAGGGATAGAGAGATGTGTCTTCCATAACCTTAATTTGTTACAGGACTTGACACACAAGTTAAATAACACCCAAGGATGTATTTACCTGTATTAGGGTTGGCCACAAAAACTCTGACATTCCAAGTTCTGCGCCTGCTTCCGATAGTTTTGTTCAATTATTTACCTGCAGCCCTGACCAGCCAGAAAGACTTAGGCAAGTTTTCATAATCCCTGTATTTTTGCTTCTTAAATTAGAGTGCACATTGCATAAAAAATAGGGTATAGCTCTTAACACGTTTTCTCATACACTAGATAAGACGAAATTGCTACATAGTTCATGTTACATGGTCTGAAAGGTTGTATCATACTATACCACAGAGATATATATTATGCCCCCAAGTGTTCATTTACATTCCACTTAACAATTTACATTCATTGCCTTCCAAATTGCTTGTTTCGCTGAAATGTCATTATAGCCTTTACGCAAAACTTTTAGTTATATCGCGATTATATATAATTTTGTTCTTTTTTGTATGCAAGCTACACAATATTTACGTTATGGTTTATACTAGTGATACAACCTTCAGGCCTTTTAGAAGTTATAAAATCTGTTTTTTGAGAACTTACGAGGTCCTGGGATTTTTTTCCCATTATGTGTTTACATATTCCGCATGTCAAATTCTATTGACGTAAGAAAACATGATAGCTTTTAGCAAAAATCGTTTACCATAATTATAATACTTTCCTTGGTGGTTAGGGGGTTGTAAATCGTCCAAAACAGCATGAATTTTACAAGAAAATATTTTCTCTTTATACAGAAGCTGAACATGTTTTAGCTGCAGCCTGCAAAATTATGTTTGTGTAACAATGATACAATTATCCCAAAACTTTTGGATGTTTACTGATAGTTCTACGAATATATTTATTAATAATTTTAGTACAGCTTTTATATTAACCAATTAACCAATTGTCAAGTCTGGCATTGCCATCACGAGCAAGTCAACGAAATGCGAAGGTGGCCTCAGCACATCATAGATTGAAATTCACACAAACGTACTTATATATAAATAGAAGGGTACCATAGGAACGACTGATGTATTGTGTGAGATTTTTTCTTTTTTACTGATATCCTCTGTAAGTGACGCGCATGTGCGTGCGTGCGTGCATGTGTGTGTGTGTGTGTGTGTGTGTGTGTGTGTGTGTGTGTGTGTGTGTGTGTGCGTGCGTGCGTGCGTGTGTGTGTGTGTGTGTGTGTGTGTGTGTGTGTGTGTGTGTGTGTGTGTGTGTTGGTATATCTTGAAAAAGTAAATAGATTAAATGAAATAATAGCAAATAAGAAAAAAAAAACTAATAATGATAAGAAACATTGAAATCTGATATATGCATGACACATAAACGAGCAAGACTATAGAAGCCTTTAAAGAGGAAAATGACATTGGGGAAGAAGGGAAAAGAGAGAGAGAGAGAAGAGACGAGAAGAGAAGAGAGAGACAGTCAGAAAAGAAAGAAGAGAGAGAAAGGAGAGAAGAGAAGAGACGAGAAGAGAAATGAAGAAGAAGAAGAAGAAGAAGAAGAAGAAGAAGAGAGAGAGAGAGAGAGAGAGAGAGAGAGAGAGAGAGAGAGAGAGAGAGAGAGAGAGAGAGAGAGAGAGAGAAGGGGAGAGATGAGAAGAGAAGATAAAAGAAGAAAAAGAAGAGAGAGAAAAGGACAGAGGGAGGGAGAGAGAGGAGAAGAGAAAAGAAGAAGAGAAAGAGACTAAGAGAAAGAGAGAAAAAAGAAAAGGAGACAGAAACAGATGAGAATAGAAAGAAGAAGAGAGAGAAACCGAGAGAAAGAGAGAAAGAGAAGAGAAAAGAAGAAGAGAAAGAGACAGAGAAAGAGAGAAGAGAAGGGGAAAGAAGGGAAAGATACTATGAGA